CTTGCACGGTTCGAGTAAGGTGAACCGCGGTTGCCTTAATCGGATTGTGCGGCGGTTGTTAGCGTGTCTGGACAGACCGGGGCGTGACAGCATTGAGCCTCTTTCCTTTGTTTAAAAAAGTTTAATACTTGATTTCAATTATTTTGTTAATTTGTTTGGACTCGAATTTAGGGCCTTATTACTTTTGGCACGAGTAGATTTGACTTTTTTATTGAGAAAATTGAAAAGTTAATCCTGAAAGTGCACGCCACGGTTTTTCCCTGGAAAGTGCTTTTTGCAATCAAATAATCCATAATGCAGATAATTTATTAGTTAAATGACCAGATATGCATGTGAGTGAAGTTACATGACTAGTAGTGGTTACACAAAAGGGTTAAAGGGTTAATTTGAGTTTACACCTCATTTTGTTGTTCAAATTAGACTTTGCACCCTATTTTTGAAAATTGTACTAGTAATATTTGCACCTCAACCCATATGACAAGACAAAAATGTCCCTTGATCAGGAATATGTTGAAGGCCAACAAAATTATTAATGGAGGGGCACTTTTGTCTTTTCATAGGTTGTTGGGGGTGCAAATACAAAGGTTTTCAAAAACGGGATTCAAAGTTTAATTTGAACAATAAAATGGGATGCAAACTCAAATTACCCCTATTCAAAAAGGTTACCATACTAAACAACAAATCTGCCCATTTTCTAACCGGCTCAAAGTCATTATCAATTACTTTTTCTTGCTTAAAAAATATCATTTTATTCTCTAATTTTGAGTATCAATATTTAATCATTTTATTCTCTCGTTTTGAGCGTCAATTTGTAATTATTTAAGATATGTGATATTTGCGTTTCAATAGAACTTTAGTGTAGTTTGTAGATATCTATTTTTTGCAAACAATTTGGGAATGATTAACTTCATGCTCAATCAACCTCGTAAATTGTTGTTGCAAAACAAATTGGGACGGAGTAAATTATTATTTCTTGTAGTTGTGTATAATATATCAAAGACTCGTATAAGTGTTATCACTGTTATGTATAAAATATTTACTGTGAAGATTTTGACAATGCTCATATTATATGCTATATGACGTTTTTGTTATCATATTTTCATAATATCTTTACTCATGGTTTAGACGCGTGTATTAATGCATATAATTATATGATTTAATGCACAATTCAGTCAATAATTAAGCACATTTGAGATGTTATAAATTAATTAATATTATAATGCAAAAGTATGAATTATTTGTTATGTTATATGAGCATTTGCAACTTTTACAATGAATTATTTGTTATGTTATATGAACAATAATTTAAGCACTCAAAATAAGACCCGTATTTTTAACCCGAATTTTTCTAAGAAATGTCGTATTATACACGTATACGTATTTACACATTTTTTAAAAGTCAACGCATTTTTTGCCGAATTTTTGACCGTATTTTTTGTTCAAGTTGCCGAATAAAACACGTACGTATTAAACCACGTTTAATTCTCGTACCGTATTTAACTAATTGTACTCTTTTCACTTCCACAAGCCTAAGGAAAAAAATATATACTCCCTCCGTTCTTTATTATGTGTCCTCTTAGGCTTTGGCACGGGTTTTAAGAGGAAAATAGTAGGAGTAGTGTAAAAGGTGTAATGAGTAGTAGGTAAATGAAAAAGTAGGAAAGAGAAAGGGGTAATGGTAATAAAAGTGGGGGTATAAAGGTATATTTAAAGTAAAAACTTTCCTTAAATGGAAAGGAGGACAAATAAAAAAAAACGTCCCAAATAGGAAAGAAGGACTTTTAATAAAGAACGGAGGGAGTATTATTTGTACACATTATTTGTCATACATGTTTCACACATGTCGCCTGTTAAGATACGTAGTATCTTTTTTCTTTGTGAATTGTGAATACAGTGTGCATGAACATTTTATAGACATCCTACATGAAATGTGTATTCAAAGGGCGGGTACACAAGGAGTGCTGAAGAAGAAATTGTACGTATATATGGAAATATGGGACACCAAAGGCTACCAACTCCTCAATAAATTTAACCCCCATCACTTCAATTATAAGTATTCACTCAATCAATTAAGTTTTTCCCTACAATTCACCAACTCGTCAATGTAGTTTTTCCCTGCAAAATTATCACATAAATGATGTGTAATAAAAAAAAAAAAATTAAGGTCTTAATTTTTTATTACACACCATTTATGTGATAATTTTATTTTTATCAATAATTATGATTTAAAAAGTCAAACAATCCGATGTAAAAATAAATATATTTGAAGTTTATTTTTTTTGTTATTTCAACACTATTTTTTAAATATAACTAAAAGATGTGAAACATGTTATCCATGAGTTCTTGATTTTACCATTTGAATCTATTTAAGAAAATTTTTGAGCCTAAAGATTTCCTTAAGATGAAACTTCATATTTTTTAAAATTTTATATATGTGATACTACTAGTGTCATATGAAAGATCATGATTTTTGATATATTAGTTTTAAAAATTGAATCACAAAGAAAAAAATTATACCATTTTAAAGAAATTTAGAGTTTTTAGTTTGTGTGCAGCCCAATTTGTTTCTTACCTCAGAAACTCTTTTCGTCCTCTCTAGGGGTGAATTGAGTATCCTAATCCCCACTCTAGTAGGGTCCCCCAACTCACCGTAAGACCTTCCTATACTATTTTTGGCTTGAGTTGCAGCTCATTTGGGGTAGAAATCTCACATTTGAGGTTGAAAAATACTATATGTACCCTATTTTGGGGTACACACCTTGTGTGACTTATATGTAGCAATCCGTTTAAGTGAGACAATTCATTTAATTGATGGACTTTTGTGAACCATATAATAGATGAGGTATAAATGGAATATCTAAAATGAGATAAATCAAGCATAGCTTTTTGAGGTTGGATCTTTTCACCCCTAACCTAAGGGTGTGTAGCCATCTTTTACCGTGCAAAAGCTAAAGCAAAAAAACAAAAAGTCAAAAATACCTAGGGGAAATTGAACAGATGGAGTGCAAGAAAAAAAATGAGGTGGGGTCAAGCTCAAAATAAGTTTATTTTATAAATTGATACTACATACTAGTACAACTTTGTTATTTGTGTTCTGATTTTTCTAAAATAATATATATCACCATTTATATTTTTTATCATCGACACCAAATTAAAAATGTATAGATTTAATGGCTAGAGATTTTTGTGACCAAAATGTTTCTGAAGTAGATTCAACCTGATAGTGGCAACAATTTTTCACATGTTTGAGTTAATTTTAGAAAAAGTCTAAATTATCAATATCAAAAATAAACTCCAAACGTATTTGTTTTCATACTAAAATGGTCATTTAAGGTATGTCTAAAAGTTATAATTTTATGCATCTTTCATTTGAGGTGCTTCCGGGTCTAGTTTTTTTATGAAATGTTGTGAGTATGTTATTCATGAAGTATAAATTATGTCTATCAAATTTCAGCTTAAAATTCAATCAGGAAGTTAGTTAAATAATTTTTTTAAAATTGCACAGTTATATATATATATATATAGGAATGATCATGTCCGAACGTTTGGACATGATCCTCCGTTCGAACATCCCCGTTTGGGGCCCTTCCCGGTGGAATTTTTTGATGAAATTTTTTGAGCATGTTCCTCATCAAGTCTAGTTTGTCCATACCAAATTTCAGCTCAAAATTCGATCGGGAAGGCATTCAAATCATTTTTTGAAGTTGACTGCGTTTTTATATGTATATTTTGACGCAGTCAACTTCAAAAAATCATTTGAATGCCTTCCCGATCGAATTGTGAGCTGAAATTTGGTATGGACAAACTAGACTTGATGAGGAACATGCTCAAAAAATTTCATCAAAAAATTCCATCGGGAAGGACCCCAAATGGGGATGTTCGGACGGTGTTCGGACGGGGAATGTTCGGACCTGAACATTCCTCTCTCTCTATATATATATATAACATGCAACTTTTTTCAATAATTTATTTATCAAACTTCCTGATTGAATTTTAATCTAAAACTTGGTGGACATAATATACACTTCATGAATAAAATGCTCACAAAATTTCATTAAAAATTTTGACTCGAAAACATCTCAAATGAAAGAGTCCTAAAAATGATACTACCTCCGTCCCACTAATATTGGTACTAAAAAGGGTGACATGATTACATAATCATTCTCGTTTGAATATACTCTTTTGTAGATTTCATCAACTTTACCTTTAGCAGGATGATATATTATAGGAAGAAGTACGGAAAAAATACTTGAGCCCATTTTCAGATGAGCTCATGTGTTTCATTCTTTATCAAAGTGGTTCATGTGTTTGAATTCCGTTATCACAAGAGGGTCATGCCGTTAAAAGCGATTGTTAAAAGTAACTCCGATTTTCAAAAGTGCCCGGAAAATTAAAAGAAAAATACCGAAAGGTGGGCCTCGTCCAGATGACCTCCAAACCACCTTTGGCTTTGGAATTTTCAGATCTGTTTGAATTATTTTTTTAAAATGATTTCGCTAATATCACCTTTCCGGTGGACTTTCCGGTGACAAGGGTGGCTGAAAACAAAAAAGAAAGATGACCTAGCAGTCGTCTTACTGAGGCGCATCTTCCGATATTTTTCTTTTAATTTTTCGGGCACTTTTGAAAAACAGAGTTACTTTTAACGGTCTTTTTCAAACGTTCTTAACGGCGTGACCCTCTTGTGATAACAGAATTCAAATACATGAAGCACTTTGATAAAGAATGAAACACATGACCATATCTGAAAACGGGCTCAACCACAAGTACCTTTTTCCGTACTTTTCCCTATATTATACTCTCTTCGTCCCATTTTGGTTGTCTCACTTTTCTTTTTGGGTTGTTCCAAAATGAATGTCTTAGCTTGTTTCCTTTTTTGTCAAGAAATATGTGGTTCTGATCATTTCACTTTATTCTACTCAAATCTCAATCACAACTTTTATTTTTCGACCACTTTATTAATAATCATACCAAATTAAAAGTACACGATCAATATGGACGGAGGTAGTACTATGTAATTATGTATATACTCCATACTAGATTGATCCACCCACTAAAGAGTGTCGGATGAATTATACCTTCTACTTCTGTACTAAGTAAGACGTAAAAGACCGATGGACATATAGTGCCTCTTCGCCAGTTTCCAAGATACATACGTACGTACGCTGCCGGCCTACTGCTATGTAGTGCGGCGTCTTCACTTGCCTTAATTTCCTTCACTTGATAGTAATCAAGGATCTCCCATCCCGTCCAAAGATACACTTCCATTGTATCAATATCATCCTCCGATCCATAAATACCCAGAACCGGCCGGCAATTATGGCTGCTGCGGCGGCGTTGAGTCCGAAAGCGCACATAGAGGAGATCCGGCGAAACAAGTTTTCAATCGGAGGAGAGCCCAACCCACTGACGGAGGACTTGCATCAGGCCGTCAAAAACCTCTCTGCTGAACTCTACTCTAAAGATGTTCATTTTCTCATGGAGCTCATCCAGGTATACCCACCTACCCACAGTATATACTCCACTTTCTCATGAGAGGTTGTAAATCTGACTCACTTGACCAAATGATAATACTAATCCCTTCCTCCCAAAAAATACTTCTCACTTTTCTTTTTGGGTCGTTCCAAAAAATACTTCTCATTTCCTTTATTTCCTTTTTTGGAAAGTTTGATGTGGTTCACATTTATTTACTTTTTCTTGTTCAAGCATAACCATACATTTCCATTTTATTCCCACTTTTTTAATAAGTGTGTCAATTCAAACTGGTAAGTATTTTTTGGGACGGAGGTAGTATTATATAATAATGTGTACATATATATTGGGACGGTGGAAAATGACATTATTACTCATCATAATGCCAAGATTCTCATTATATTGAATCTGCCATTATTATGGCATTACTAAAAATGTTGGCAGATTTCCATCCGGTGATGGGAGCCGGTGGTGCTGGGGATGGCAGAAGCTACGGCGTTTTTTTTTTGCATTTTTTTTAATTTTTTATTTTTTTTAAAAAAATAAATTTTTTATTTTATAAATAGTTTTTTTAACATTTTTATTATATTTTATGATTTTTATTATTAATTAAAACATTTCAAAAGTCTCAAGGGTATATTTGTCCAACTACACATAAATAGTCCTACTAGGGGGAATAAAAACACGTAGTCCTATTTGTGCTCTTGGGCCACTTTTTGACCTATTTAGGTAATTAACTCTCAAATAAATTATTGAAAAACATGACGTTTTATGTGTATATATATATATATAAGGCACCATATTTTTCAATAATTTATTTAACTGACTTTCTGAAAACATACTTATAAAATTTTATCAAAAAGTTCTGCTCGGAAATCCCTTAAACGGGGTTGACCAGACGGCGATTCATGTCAGTTCGGACTAACCAGACTATTCCTCGTACCTCTATAAAGCAATATAACAAAGATTTTCATTCATAAAGTTAATGTGCTAAGTCACAATTATCCACAACGCGTTCTCATATGTTGAACATGTTGTGCAATATTTTCTTTGTTAACTCTTTTAAATATTTTTTTTCAATAAAAGTATCTAAGACATCATTCATCAAAGCATCTTCCATTCGATATGATTGTGCATGCTAAACTTTTCTTTTGAAAAAATTCTCTAAATAGGACTAAAACATGGATACAATACATTAAGAGTACAACCAATATTTTATTCCGAAAATAGGACTTAATAAATCCTATTTTGAGAAGTTTTAATGAACTTATTCTTTGTAAAAGGATAAAATAAATTTTATTTGAAGAATAAAACGTACCTAGTCCTATTTTTGAACTTTGTGTATGTTTTGGTCTTATATTGAGCAATTTCTATTTTTAAATGGTGGTGTCAACTTTAATATTTTGAAAGATTACATATATTAGATTATATTTTTCAATTCACCGGTGTCAAATTTAAAGTTTTTAAAAATTATATATACCTATATATGAAAAAGAAAAATTCCAATGGTCTCATTTAATTTTTTACGTTTTTTATAATTAAATTTTTTATTATTACAAATTAAAATATGATTATCTTATTAAGTTATATGGTAAGGGCAGAATCGAAAGATAGAGTATAATTTAGTCCTATTTTGTGAAGATAAATAACATACTCATGTGCATTTAGGGATTAATTTAATCCTATTTTTCCTATTATTTTAGAGAGAATTTTGTAAATGCCCAATAACACTTAAATTGACCCGGGTAATCTATTCAAAATATATTTTATTAATAAAATAAAAAAAAGTATATGAAAATAGCTAAAACGGTGCTTTAGAGTTACTTTGGCCCATTCAGCTACAAAATAGCTTTCACCTTATTTATTTTGATTAGGAATTTTATCAATTCAAGACCTGAAAGATAGATGAATTATCATTTCGAGAGTCAAAAGATAAATTGTATCAGTATAAGACCCGAATGATGTAAAGTTATCAATGTAAGACCTAACATTTCACAGGTTTTGATTTATTTATTTTTTTATTAATTCTATTGCTAATTTTTGATACACTTTTTTTCACAAAAGTTTATTAGTTTAATAAAACTAAATAATATTTAAAAATTTTAAAATAAAAATAATAATAAAATTCATGACAACTTAGGTCCTAGATTGATAGTTTTCAATCATTCTAGTCCTAAATTGATACAGAGTAATTTTTAATCATTCGGGTCCTATATCGATATGTTTCATCTTCCAGGTCTTGGATTTATAATTCAGCTATCTCTCAGGTCTTGCATTGATAAAATTCTTTTTGATTATCATCGGTTCAATGTGCAAAATCCAAAATTACGAGTTTCTTAAAAAATTGACTGATAAGATTAAGTTGAAAATAGACTATCAAACGAGCTCTAATTTCAACTAAAATAGATCTAGAATAAAATTCATTCACTCCTCTAATATCATTTTAATTAGTATACTAAGACATGAATGATAAATGATTGTTTATGAGGGTAATTTGTTTGGTATATTGTTTTTAGCCGTCTAGGTAATTTAGATATAATGAAATGATTAGGATGTATCTCCTTAGACTATTTTCAATCCCAAATCGGATCAGACTTAAACAGACCGGATCCGACCAAAACAGATTTCTGTAGTTATAATAAAATGCATAGAGACCAAGCATTTACCAAACTATACTAAACTTAAACGAACCAGATCAGACTTTCATAGCTATGTACGCCTCTCATTATTGCAGATGTGACCCTCAATTGTTAGTGAGCTACCGAAACATTAACCAAAAAAAGTTCTTATTTAATTTATACTACGTGCATTTTATTCATATTTTAATTCTTAGTAAAAGTCAAAGCATTTTCTTTATTAGTATATGTGAATGCTTTGCATGGACTCAGAATGCGGAGGATAACGAGTACGAGGTTGGCGTGGACCCCACTCTTGAATTCGTAATCACGTCCAAAGACATAACGCAGACGGGAGCTATGGCGACACTGGTGATATTTAACAATGAAAAGGGCTTCGCCCGCCAAAACATTGAATCAATTTGCAGCGTCGGCCGTTCCACTAAGAAAGGAAACCGAAAGAATGGCTACATTGGGGAGAAAGGTTTTTCCCATCTCCTTTTACCTTTTGTACCATTTGTCTTCTCTTATACAATATTTGATATTATCTATGATATCAAAACAAAAATTGGGGTGAGAAAAATTGTCTGTCCACAAAACAAGTGAGTCCGTGACACGGATAATTTGGACGTGTATATGAGCGGGTGAGCACCTTTGATATTTTATTCGATCACATAATCATATTTCTTTACTATATGTTAAAAAAAAAAATATACTCCGTATTTATTACTCCGTATTACGTAAATGGCAACACATCAACACAATATGTCACTCTTTTGTATATTTGAATTGTTTTAATTTTTTCTTTTTCCCGTATTTTCTTTGTAATTATTTTCTATTTTTGAATACATCAGTTCTATATGTCTAAATATGGATTACATATGCCGATTAGTAGTGCTTTTATACTTTGTTGCACGGGAAAACGTACTTTTTCCTAAGAGTTTCCGTGCTACATGGCTTTTATATGATTTTTGGATATGCATATTTTATTTAGTAATGCTCTTTTTGAAGGCATGCTAACATGCCAAAAATGTCAACAATATATGGTCTTGCAAAGTAATCAGAAGTATGAGCACATTTTTTTTTTAATAAATACTACGTATGTAAATTACAATCTCGCCAACTTAGCCATCCTTTTACACTTTTTTGCATAAAATATTCATATATGTAAGGGATTATTTTGTCATATTTTTATGACTTTATTCTTAAAGCTCACTTGCGACATAAGTGATCCTCCGATGCTGTTTCTCTTGATATTTTAGGGAGAAATGGATAACCAATCCAATATAAAGAACCTACCCCATTTTGTTTGTTATTTGCAAGTTTAGGTGCATTTTTTGTACGGAGTATAATGCTGTTATGAATTCACTTTGAATCTTGTATTGAGAAATTATTTGTGATGTATATACTCTATTTATTAACGAAATGTTTGTTTGATTAATTGATTCCTCCTTTTACCTGAATTCATTTTTTTCTCAATGTGCTTTCTTTCCAGGCATTGGGTTCAAGAGCGTCTTTCTGATTACACCCCAACCGTACATATTCAGCAACGGATACCAAATTCGGTTCAGCGAAGAACCATGCTCACAGTGCAAAATCGGTTATATCGTCCCAGAGTGGGTGGAGAATGATAACCCTGTTCTTGCACACATAAGACATATTTACGGTTCATCAACTTCACTCCCCACCACAACTTTGGTGTTGCCTCTGAAATCTGACAAGGTTGATCCAGTGAAGAAGCAGCTATCAAAGATTCATCCAGAGCTTCTCTTGTTTCTTTCCAAGATAAGAAAGCTTTCAGTCAGGGAAGACAATGCTGACCGAAAGCTCAATACTGTGAGCACCATATCCATTTCAAGCGAGAAGAATCTTGTCACGAGGAAAAACATCAATGCAGAGTCCTATGCTCTTATTCTCTCTTCTGATGAAGATAAAGGGAATGGCCAATGCTCTTATCACATGTGGCGACAGAGATTCCCAGTCAAGAATGGATGCCGAGTTGATCGGAGAATGGAAGTTGAAGATTGGGTTATCACAATTGCGTTTCCACACGGGGAACGTCTCAACAGGGGAAATAGTTGCCCTGGTATCTATGCTTTTCTTCCTACAGAGATGGTCACCAACTTTCCATTCATAATCCAAGCAGATTTCTTACTATCGTCATCCAGGGAAACAATCCTACTAGACAACCAATGGAATAAGGGAATCCTTGACTGTGTTCCATTAGTCTTTTTGAGTGCATTCACCTCGCTAGTTAAATCAAGTGATGATGTTCCTGTCTCTAGTCTGGCTGAAATGTTCTGCTTTTTGCCAGTTGAGAGTTCCTCATATCCAAGCCTGGATGCTACTGTCAGAGATCCGATCAAAGCAAAGCTGCAGGAGGAAGATATTGTTCCATGTCAGTCGTATACCAATCAGAAGGTCTTCCGCAAGCCGTGTCAAGTTGGGAGGCTAATACCATTGTTTTGGAATTTGTTGAATGAGGCTACGAAGCAGGGTGTCACGCTTCACAATATCTCCTCTCATGGAAAGTCTATTCTCAATTTTGCATTTGATAAGGAGAAGTACAATAAAGTCTTTGACTTCTTGGAAGTGAAGCAAGTTAATAATGATTGGTATGCCAAGTGCATACAGGGTTCAAATCTTGTTATGGGTGTGTCTGAAGAGCTTTATGTACAGCTTCTGTTTTTTGTTGTGGCCTACTGGAGGTCATGCTTCTTTTCTAAGGCAAATATGGGGAAGCTACCGTTGCTGAAGTACGTTGACAGTAATGAGCATGTGGCCTTGTGTAGCATAGATTCTGTGTCTGAGCATCACATCACATTGTTTCTGTGCACTAAATCCAAACATGTTAGTTGGCTGATTACCTGGAACAGAGTATTTCGTTGCATGGGGGGATATTTCATCCCTGAATCTACACATACAGCGTTTGACAACAGTTCTGACGTGTTGAAGTGTATACGTGACTGGATGATAAATGATGTTAAGGTTAGATCTGTTGACACTGCTGAGTACGCACAAGTCATCCGTCAGTCACTAAGCCATGACCCGAAGCTCGTCCTTGCATATGCACATTTCTTATATCACTCGTACATGAAGGATTATGTGGTCTCTGCAAGCGATATTGAGTCACTTTGCATCAACATGCCACTTGTTGATGATTATGGAAATGTCTTGACCCATCGAGAAGGTGTTCTTGTGCCAGCGAATGGAAGCAAGTGGGTTCAGTTGATTGGCTCCAATCCTTGGAAAAGAGAGGGTTACATTGAGCTCGGAGAGGAGTACTTGCATTCCCGACTTGTTGCTAATGCATATACGAACAATGGAGACATTCTTGGGTTTCTTAAAACCTATGCCAGTGCTATGGATATTCCTGAATTACCACCTCCAAATGCTACACTATCATGTATGTCTTCACCGCTAACAAAAGAAAATGCTTTCTTGCTGTTAGATTGGATACGCAATAGGGGAGTGTTGCCAGAGAAGTTCTTGACCAGCATAAAAAATGGAAGTTGGCTTAGAGTCCGCTTATGTGGTAGTACTGGCTACAGGCCCCCCTCGCAATCCTTTTTTCCTGATTCAAAATGGGGTCCTCATTTGCAAAATGGTTCATTGCGTGTAGATATCCCATTGGTTGATCTTGCATTTTATGGTGCACAGATTTCTGACTACATTGAAGCACTAAGAACCACTGGTGTAATGTTTGATCTCAAGGAAGCCTGTGAGTTTATTGGGAGGCATTTCATGTCTCTGGTGGATTCTTATTCTTTTGCAAAACATGATGTCATCTCTATACTTAAGTTCATTAAATATTTGAGAGAAAAGTATCTTCCTCCCGGTGACTTCATCAATAGCATCAAAGATAAGAGCTGGTTGCTGACCACACAAGGCATGAAGAAGCCAGGACAATGTGTTTTTCTTGCTGACAAATGGTATGCTGTTTCACAGATCAGCAATGTCCCATTTGTTGATCAAATGCATTATGGTCAAGATATTATTATTTTCAAGGAAGAACTCAGGCTTCTTGGCGTTGTATTCGACTTCAACAAAAATTACAATTTAATTGTTTCCAATCTGAAACCATCTGAACATTTGAACTCTTTAAGTGCTAAAGCAGCTTTCTTGGCTCTCAAATGTATCCGTCACCTCAAGCTAAACTCCAATGATAGACTATGCATAGCACTCAAGGGTAATCGGTGTCTGAAGACTCTCGAGAATGGATATAAATCTGCTACGGAATGTTTCATACCAGATGCAACTTGGGGTTGCATTCTCCATGTTTTTGACAACTTTCCCATCATCGATGAGAAGTTTTATGGAAGCAAAATTCTTTCATTCAAGGATGAGCTCAAGAATTTGGGTGTGGTGGTCAGTTTTGAGGGTGTTGTTAAAACTTTTGTTGATGATTTTAAGCAGCAGTCTTCTAAATGTGCATTGAGCAAGACCTGTGCACTTTCTTTCCTTGCATGCTACAGAAAGTTAAAAGCAACTGCCTTCAGTTCACAGTTTGATGAAATATTGAAAAACATTAAAGATGTAAAGTGGCTTAAAACTCGACTTGGTGCTGCCAGTGCCCCAGAAGAGTGCATCTTGTTTGATGAAAGCTGGGCACCAATATCATCTATATCTCTTTTGCCATTTATTGATGATGCTTACTATGGCCCAGAGATTCGTGAGTATAAGGCAGAGCTTAATGCCATGGGTGTTGCCACAACATTCAGAAAAGGGGCAGTGTTTGTTCCAGCGAGCCTTCGTTTGCCTCAGAATCCTGAGGTTATTTCACCTCCTGTTGCAGTATCCCTGTTGATGTGTTTACGGCATTTACAAAAGAATATCAGTGAGAAGCAAACTGACCTGATCACTTCTCTCCGGGAGAAACTCGATGTTAAGTGGATCAAGTCTATAGCAGGTTACCAATGTCCAAAAAAGTGTTTACTATTCAGCCCAGAATGGAAAGCTGTTCTGAATCAAGATGATGGACCCTTTATTGATGAAAAGTTCTATGGTCCAGAATTTTCTTCATACTCTAAAGAACTTCAAACTTTGGGTGTGGTGGTTGAGGTTAAAAATGGTTGTTCTTTGGTTGTTGAATACCTCAATGTGCATACTGATCGGACCACTATCAGTCGCATATATAAGTACTTGTACACGAATGGATGGCCTGATGATGTGAAAACTGTTGGAAATGCAAAGATGTTATGGATTCCCAGTGGGGAGAATAGTGGGAAATGGGTTAGTCCAAATGCCTGTGTGCTCCATGAAAGTACTGGTCTTTTTGGGTCAGAGTTTTTTGTTTTGGAAAACTATTACAGCAATGAGTTGCTGTATTTCTTTTCCAATTTAGGTGTGAAAACCTACCCTGCACTAGAGGACTACTTCAAGCTCTGGAAATCATGGGAGGGTTCATCAGATAGGAAACTGTCTCATTCTGAGTGCCGCGCCTTTTGGGAGTTTATAGTCACCCACTGGAGCTCAAAAACAAAAAAGTTTCTTGAAGAAAATCTGAAAAAGATTCCAGCTTGTTCCGGTACAAATGAAGGGATTTATTTGCTAGACAAGTGCGATGTTTTCCTTGCTGATGACCTCTACATGAAGGATCTGTTCGAACAGAATTCTTCAGATCCACTGTTTGTCTGGTACCCACAACCAAGCCTTCCATCCTTGCCCCGAACAAAGCTTCTGGATATCTACAAAGAAATTGGAGTTGGTTATTTATCGAAATCTGTCAAAAATAATGGTATCTCATCAATTGAATCTTCTGGGCTGGAAAGGGTAAAACCAGAAACGATCCATATCGGAATGAATCTCTTCAGGCTGATTCTTGGGTTTCTTGCCCAGCCTTCTCTGGAGATGGATGCTGATGAAAGGCACAAGTCTCTCATGAGCCTTGTGGACTCGAGTTTTCTGAAGATGGATGAACCCATCACCGTTGATTATTCTCTCTCACTTTCATCAGGGAAGATCCTGACCGCAAAAGCAAGCAGAATGATTCGGTGGGAGAGGGAGAGCTCCAAGTTCTTCCTCACAGAGCTCCAGGAATCAGAAGGTTACAGAGGTGTGCTGGAGTATGCTACCTGTTTCTCAGAAGTCATCTCAGAGGGCATTCTGTGGGACAAAGAAGATCATGTGCCCCAGCTCTCAGAGCTGATCAAGCTGGGTTATCTTGTTAAGTTTGAGAAGGATGCTATCAGTTTCTTGATGAAAACCAAGAACCTGCAGATTTTCTTGGAAGATGAACAGTTTCTCTCTTCTCTTATTCCTACCTGCTGAATTGGGTATGGTCTTGTGTTCTGATCCATTGTTTTTTTTTATGTTCAATTCTGTTCATGTTGTGAACTTATTTCCTCTTTAATGATTTCAGGCTGATGATGACTGAAAACAACACTGGTGGAGAATGATTTTGAGTTATCTATGTTTCTTTTGTTTTTAATTTCGAATTTCGACTGACTTGGAGTGTTATGTATCTAAATTATTGTTCAGCATTTGCTTGTTTCTTCCATTTGAACTTAATTTTATCGGCATGTTCAAATCAGATTTTCCACAGATTTGTCTTCAAGAAAACATGTTTTATTTCAAAACGATGTACTATATTTTAAATTGACCTTAGATCAAATTTATAAAACATTCGGTATAATAATATCTATTATGTACTTCGTATCTTATATACTCCGTATAATAACTTATATATATAATTAAAATAAGGGATAAGGCTCAAATTGGACACTATGGTTTTATCAGAATCTCATATTGGACACTAAGGTTTCAAATGGACCAAATTAGACACTGTGGTTTCATATGTATCTCATATTGGACACTAAAGTTTCATAATTCAATATAAGTGAGTGTTCAATTTGATCTTTATCCAATATAAGTGAGTGTCCAAAAACTATAAATTATGAAACTTTAGTGTCCAATATGAGATATATATGAAACCATAATGTCTAATTTGGTCCATTTGAAACCTTAGTGTCCAATATGAGATTTTGATGAAACCATAGTGTCCAATTTGAGTTTTATCCCTTAAAATAAAGACCGGAACCTTACAAAAAAAGACTCGAAAAAATATCTCTCATACATTCATACTACATACTACCTCGTTGCTTCTTATATTTGGACGGAAGAGAGTGGCACAATTATTAAGTGGATTTGTGTGGTTGATATTAATTGATAAAGTAAGAATAAAGTAAGAATGATTTAGAGTCACACAAACTTTACCAAATATGGTATGCGATAATTTGAGTGGAATTTTTCGAAAAATGTAAAACAGGACAATATAAAGGGGATGGAGGGAGTAGTGTTTTATTCGTAAAACATCATATCATGACTACTTTAATTTAAAATTGAACTTATGTTCAATTTAAACTAAATCAATTACTCCGGATGATATTATGAAATGTTAACTGAAGTTATGTTTTTGTAAAAAAAAAGAGAATAAAATATGACTAAAAATGTTTGAGAATTCTAAAATGGGACTGTCATGTTTTTAATCCCAAAATAGGACTAATTACTGTCATGTTATGGCAGTACCAGACATCAAACATGACATATTTTCCAAATTAGCATTTAATCTTGATAGAAAATTTAAAGAGAAATTACCCTAAATGGGACTAAAACATTGTCTAAATTCCATAATAGGACTTTAAGTTTATTATTCCCTAGGATTAAAGATTACACCTTTACCCTGATTAACCTAACCCAGATGTGCGACTCATATCCTCTCCTTCTGCAATCGATCACCGCAATTCATCTTCCTCTACCACGGCTGTAATTCATCTTCCGCGATTCTTTGTTCTGCCATGGCTGCGCTCTGCCATCGAGCGTAGCCTCGCAGTGCCATAGCTCTGCCGTCGACGACCTCTGCTGCAATAGCCAAGACATGTATGTACTCCCTCCGTCCCAGGGAGAAGTTCCCGGGTTGACTTTCACACATATTAAGGAAATAAAGTTACTTAGGGGTAAATTGTACTGTTTGGCACTGTTTCGACACTGTTTGACACTGTTTTGCACTGTTTTGATGTAGGATAACTTTCCATTTAGGGAAATGGGAACTTTTTGTTGGGACTGCCAAAAAGGGAAAGTGAGAACTTGTCCCTGGGACGGAGGTAGTACTATTCTTCTTCTTTTTCCTAGTTCTCTACTTTTTTTTTATCAATCCAATTTTAAATAAATTTTTGAATTTTGAAAGTTACAAATGAAGATATATCTGAACTTGAATTTCTTGTTATCAATTTTGATTCATTTGAATCTCAAAATGCCCTGACTAATGATTCCAGAAAATGTCAATTTTTGGATAAAAGAATGTCATAATTATTGGGTATTTTTTAAAAATGACATTTGTATGTCATTACAATATTTGGAAATGCCATATTGAGAATGTCATGTTGCTATACGAAATTGTCATTATTGTGTCATTATTGGTTATTTTTTTAAAATGGCACTTTTAATTCATTTCAGTATTTGGAAATGTTTTTATACGAAATTGGTATTATTGTACATGTCATTTGCATATTAAGTGGCATTCTCGCATATGAAGTGGCATTCCTCATGGAGGTCTGCACAAACTCACTAGAGGGCAAATCTTTTTTGGAGAATGATGGCAGCGTACTCGTTGAGGGATGGCGGTGGTGGCAGACTTGATGGAGGGTGGTGGAGGCGCCATTGGTGGAGGCATCGACTTTTGGAGGCTTGGAAACGCACATAGCACACTTGCGCAGCACAGGGGAATTCACACCTGCGCAACACAGGTCGTGCAGGCTTTTAATTTTTTCATTAAGGGTATTTTTGTTAGATTAGCTCTTTTTAGTCCTATTTTTGTCCAAAAAACATAGTACTCCTATTTTTGCAATTCTATCTTCTTGTAGTCCTATTTAGGGAATTCTCCCAAATTTAAATTCTGCATTTCTCCTATCCGTGAATCATTAAATTTTCTTGAAAGAATTATTTTAATTGAATTGATAGCTATTTCGATTGATATATTCTATGCAATTTAACTTTAACTTTGATTTGAAAAGTATTTTGTACCAATAATTTTGATATAATGACATTTTTGTTTCATGTATAGCTGGGGATTAGAACACTTCAATAATTTTGATATACTTTTTTAAGAAAAGAAAGTGTTTTGACAAAGATTTTTTTGGAAAATTTCTTAATCTATTTTGGAGTGTCACAGTGATACCATCAGATAAAAAGACACTTGGCGTGTTTGACAAAGATTATTCATTTGTCCAATGAGATTCTTAGAGTAACATCTCTACAACCATTTCTCAAAGATTAATGTTATACTTTAGAAACATGAGTAGCCTTTCTAGGCAAAGAATAAAGACTCAAAATTGCCCCGAATAAGATATAAGAAAACCCAAATTCAAACATAGAGTGATATGTTTTTTCCTATTGATATATGAATCATTACTATTTGAAAAATACTATCAATTATAAATTTAATATTTGACTTAAACATGTTTTTAGCCCCTATTGTTGAGGTTTATTCCTTCAACCTTCAGGCCCAACACGTAAGCCCAAAGATTTCGAGTGGAGTGCGTATGAGTAACTAGCCCAACAAACAGATGATAAGGGTCAAGAAACAATAAGGTAGCAAGTAAGTGATTAGGTATTATTATCTCTTAATAACTCCCTAATACAATACTCTTTGCTAAGGCTCCGTCGGCCGTTCGTCTTACAAGGCAGTAGAAGTGCTGCGAGTAAGAATGCTATGGCTAGGGTGCTAAGAATAGAAAGTTGCCAACCCTTTACAATGAAATAAATGCTTCTATTTATACCCGCCAATGGGCAGGTGGCTATGCTGACGTGGAGGCCTGCGGACCGCTTGTGTCCCAACCACCAAATCTTCTGCATTAAATGCACTTCCCGCCAGAATCTAGGCTTCCCGCCTAAATAATGGGGACGCTCGTCCGCCAGGGGTGAGCTGGGTCACTCCAAGTGACCCTCAAGAGACTTCGGCTGTTCGTCCCCTGACCTTGTGGATTCTCTCCATGTGGACTGGATCTCCTCCGACGATCATGGGCCTGCCCAGGAGACGTTCGTCGTTATCCCTGATGGCTAGTGGTCCTGCCCCTTGCCTTTGCACAGACGTTCGTCGCGATGGGCCGTTTGCACCTGGGCCCCTCAATTCCAGACGTTCGTCTCTTCCCAAGGGTCCTGGGCCTGCGCCCAGCCTGGTCCTAGCCTGACGTACGTCCGATAGAAAAAAGGGGGTTAATGGGCCGGACCTCGGCCTGGGCCATTATCCCAACACAAGTCCCCCACTTCTGATGTTCTGAGCATGCGCAGGACATAAGGAAGTATAGGTGCCCCGAAATGGACGTTCGTGTCTTGATACTTGTGTTTGTTGCATCTGGCGGAAGCGTACGCTCGTGGTCAAGGTGCTTAACAGCTGTCGACGGTTCAGGAAACGAGGTGACGGCTGCTGTAGCGGCGGTGCACTTTCCGAGGAAATGCCATCATTACGCTTTCGTCTCACGCATAGCGCGTGAGCCGGAATACGCTCCTTGCCACGTGTCCGTCCCTCGTTGGTCCCCCCATCGGTGTCTCTCCTATAAATGCCGGGTTCCCCCTCTAAATTAGGGTTCCCAATTTCTGCTCTCCTGCTCTCGCGTTCCCGCAGCTCTTCAAGTCTTCTCCCGCTTTCAAGCTCGGCTAACCCCTTTCTAAGGTAATTTCCATCCTCTGCTTCTTTTCTTTGTCTTGAATTCTCGCCGAGATGGTTTCGATGGAGATCTCGTCGAGTTCTGGTTCGGGTTCGTCGGGTTCCTCCTCGGGCTCTTCCTCCGACTCCGGTTCACGCTCTTCGGGTAAGACTAGCACCTCCGGGAGTTCTGGCTCAGCTCCTACCGTGGGAACCGTTCAGACCGGGGAGGCCCAAAATGTGGTTACTGTGACGGTCTCTGGTGAAGAAGGTGCTGATTTGGGGGAACAAGGGGATATGGCCCTTGATGTAGTGGACCCCGTGGCTGATGTCGAAGAACAGGAGTCTGCTGGTGAGGACGAGCGTCCAGACGGGTATGACTCTGGGGTTGAGGCTCAGGACGGCTCCGACAACGAAGTATTCGAGCTTGGGCTGAAGATAGATGTGGAGAGGCATCTGTGCCCGATTAAGAACGTCCTGTGCCATGAGCAGATCTTCTCGCAGGTGGCCCTCAACAAACTGAAGGTGTTCTTCCCCCCTCCGTCCGTATACAGCCTGCGTGGTGCGACCCACATGATGAGGAGACGTCCAGGGATGGTTATGGTGCTTCTGGACTCTATTGAGGCTGGGCTGCGCTTCCCTCTTCATCCGTTCTTCGTGGAATTCTTCTGTTGTTACCAGATAGCCCCCGCACAACTCATGCCGAATTCCTATCGGTTCGTCTCCGCCTTCCTAGTCCGCTGCAAGGACAATGGGGTCACTGCCACTTTGGACTTGTTCCATTACTTCTACCGGCTCACTCCCCAAAATTCCGACGGTTTCCTGAGCATTGCAGCTCGTCCAAAACGGCGGCTGTTCAGCGGAGCACCGAGTTCCATCCATGACTGGAAGAACCGGTTCTTCTTCGTGCGGTACGCGGATGCTCGTCTGCCATTGCGTTGGAACGGCTATCCGCCCAAGATAGGATCTCCGGAACTGACCAACGACCTGCA